CGTAATTATATAGGGATACGTGAATATATATCTATTCATGTTCCTGGATAAAATCAGGAGTGAATAAAATCGATTATTCTATTATTATTATATTCTATTACTATAATCCATTATTATTCACTCCTGATAAAAAAGGGCAATCTATATAGCAGGACAGCATGTGTGTGGGGTTAATAACGCGTAGTTCTTACTTGCCAATCTTTTATCTCTCTGTCGCGTAGTCACACGCGCAAACATTCCCCGCACACCCGCTTTTCCTTCTGGCATTGTCTACATCTTACATACACACGCACACACATGCACACGCATGCACGCACGCACACACACGCACAAACACACACACGCACGCACGCACGCACACAGCGCACGCACACGCACACGCACACATACACACGCACGCACAAAACACGCGCGCACGCGGCGCGTATTACATCATACTACAGTGATCGTCACAGATACATTTACGAATCCATCTAGCCATCCATCCGATGCGATCTGCATCGCTAATATCTTCTAATTAGTCCAAGGGGTTCGCTAGAAAGATGCTGTTTGCCTATATATGCGCCCCGAGCTTCACTCCCGAGCTTTTACGGATCACACGGGAAAAAAACTCGGTTACGAAAAAACTACGAACTCCATTCTAATTAGAATCATTAGCATAGCATTTTAATTGCGTCTATAATAGGACTTGAATTCGCAGCACGTCCGCACGCGCGCCGGAATTTTCGATGATTACGCTGCGTAAAATTACTGCAGTTTTACACAGCTCACGCAAGCTACGTGTTGTGTGTGTGTGTGTGTGTGGTGTGTGTGTGTGTGTGTGGGTGTGTGTGTGTGTGTGTGTGTGTGTGTGTGTGTGTGTGTGAGGTTGTGTGCGTGTGTGTACGCGCATTGTTGCTCCCGTACGAGTTATTTCATCTCATTATTATCTCTCCGCTCCTATGAGGTTTTACCCCCCCCCCTCCATCGCCAAATTCTCCTTGTTTTCTCCCTCTCTCTCTCTCTCTCTATTTCTCTTTTCGATCTACCTCTCTTTCTCTCTTGTTGCTCGCTCTCTCTCTTTCTCTCTTAATCGTTCTCTCCTCCCACTCTCTCCCCTCTCTCTATCTGTCTCTCTTCCTCTCCCCCCTCTCTCTCTCTCTCGTTTCCCAAACCCGCCGCTCTCTCTCTCTCTCGTTTCCCAACCTCTCTCTCGCGTGAGAACATTCGCTCTCGCTCCCACGCGCTCTCTTTAATTATCTCGCAGTTTTTATTTCCTGTCTCATCTCATCTTCTCAGTTCTTCTTTCGCAATACGCGAGCGGACATTTGACTATTATCGTGGTTACCAGCAAAAAACTTTCATCAGACAAGATATACGCAACTGCAGCCTGAAGGTGAAAACCCATTACGAATCCTGAAATGCAACGCGAATTGTGTAAACCGTAAAATCTCATTCTCTCTTATTACATTTAGCTGTATCTATAGCAACAATCTACGACGCGTTCGTGGTATAACCATCAGAAAAATACCGAGTGATTCTTTTCACTCGGGGATATTCTTGATAGTTGATGAACACATGATAGATGATTCAGGATTTCACAGCAATTCCCCAAGGAGGCAAGACTGAATTTACATTCGGCTATATCACCCCCCCCCCACCCCACACACACACACACGCCACACGGTCCACACCACTCCTTCCTAGGTACTCCTTCCTCTGCGAGCATGTAGAGTAACTGCCTTCCTCCAGACCAGACTGAATTAGCGTCTTATACGCATAGCGCAACGCAAACGCGTGTAAACTTCACTGCACCAGTTATCACGCATCTTCGCCTCTATGCCACTATGACGCACAGCAAGGTAACATCAACGCGAACACACGCGAGTAACTAACTGTACTCTACTGAGTACTCCGAGATTGATTCGATATTAGAAGCGTGTCGGCGTAGCGTGGCATCGGTGTGATGGACGGGGTCTCCTCCTTCTACTTAACCCCTTCCTTTCCTATCCTTTAACCCCTTCCTTTCCTCTCCGTTAACCCCTTCCTTTCCTCTCCTTTAACCCCTTTCTTTCCTCTCCGTTAACCCCTTCCTTTCCTCTCCTTTAACCCTTTCCTTTCCTCTCCGTTAACCCCTTCCTTTCCTCTCCTTTAACCCCTTTCTTTCCTCTCCGTTAACCCCTTCCTTTCCTCTCCTTTAACCCTTTCCTTTCCTCTCCGTTAACCCCTTCCTTTCCTCTGCTTTAACCGGTTCCTTTCCTCTCCTTTAACCCGTTTCTTTCTTCTCCATTAACCCCTTTCTTTCCTCTCCTTTAACCCGTTCCTTTCCTCTCATTTAACCCGTTCCTTTCCTCTCCTTTAACCCCTTCCTTTCCTCTCCTTTAACCCTTTCCTTTCCTCTCCGTTAACCCCTTCCTTTCAATCAGCGTTTCATCAGCGTGGATAGCAGCAAATTTTGATCTGCGCGCGCGCCGCGGTGTGTGGTGTGCGGGCGTGCGTCCGTGCGTGCGTGCGGTGTGTGCGTGGCGAGCGCGTGCTGTGTGTCGGGGTTGGTGTGTGGTGGCGTGGAGCTGCGTGCGTGCGCGCGCACCGTGTGCGTGCGCCGCGTCGTGTGGCTCGTGTGTGTGTGTGTGTATGTGCTGCGCGCGCGTGCGGGACGGTCGCCTCCGTGCGTCCTGCCCTCGTCGTGTGTGTGTGTGTGTGTGTGTGTGTGTGTGTGTGTGTGTGTGTGTGTGTGCGCGCGTCGTGTGTGTGTGTGTGTGTGTGTGTGTGTGTGTGTGTGTGTGTGTGTGTGTGTGTGCGTGCGTGCATTATCAAACCTATCCATACGTGAAACTCATTGATTACCCATCCGATATCGCCAACACGAACACCTAATTGTAGCTCTTGATGATATGCGTTTGGCGCTTCACTGTGTACTGTATACTCTCCGTGGGGGCGATGTAGGGGTTGCGGGAGTACGCTGGGTGGTGAAGGATACACTCAAGCTTTTGCACAGGTTTTGCTCTAATAAAGAGCAAACGTGTATTGATAAATGAATCAAATCAATCACACATGGTTGATCTTCTGCTCTGCTGGACTAGCAATGTTTTCATGAACAGCAAACGCACATCGCTAAGCAGTGAAAATGGAGATGGCATCGCATGAGTATTGGAAATACAAGCACGGTGGCTACCATAAGACCATACGATAACGGTAAAGCAAAAAACGTCAATTAATCACTAGTTGTATTGATTCATTATCACACCTGTTCGACAAAGCCGGACCTATTGTTTTAAAACGAACATGGCTCGAGTAATTCGATAAAATGCACGCAAAACGGGAATGGATGTAATCAGATGTATTGTGCGAAATATGCACTCACGTGTAATCAGAACAGCCACCTACTCTTCAAAATACTGGACTCACCGGTGTATGTATAAATATAGAAATGTACTCTGTTCTCGAAACGTTAGGTAAGAGAATGCGATAGTCTGTTTCATCATCAACTTTCATCTACGCTCATGGATGGTTCTACGATTATATATACGCCTAGGGAGACGCCTAGTGGGTTCTACGATTAGAATTCCCCGTTATAGAGAGAGACTCTACCGACGATGAGCGTGTAGCGACACCTATCGGGCAATCGCGACCTACTGATACCATACGCACTTTTAAATGTGCTGCTGATAACCAGAATTCCCCTCACTAGATGGTGCCACGCGACAATATGCTTACGCTAATACCTGATGGGCGGATCATCACCTGAATTGATGACCAGGTTCTACTACTCGGCACGTGAGCGAGAGAAAGATATACCAGCAACGTGGAAACATGCAGACACGACCGACCGTGCGTGAGTGCGTGGTGTTTGTGCATGTACGCACGCACGCACATATGCACGCACGCACGCACGCACGCACGCACACACGCACGCACGCACGCACGCACGCACGCACGCACGATACAGATGAACTAGTCTAGCGATTTTACATATAAATATATATTATATATATAAATCACTATATATAAATAGGAGCTCAGGACTATCGTTGGATTCACACTACTCACAGTGAATGAACCCGGCCCACAGAGAAACTGAAAGTACCAAGGCCAGCAGAATGAAACTAATCTAAAGGTATAGGCATGTACCGACCACAAATACCTTGCCCTCTCTCATGCATGGTAAAGATTTACATTGCATGTGAGAGCGCAATTATGAGAATATAAATGTTCGCCCTTCCTCACGCAAGAAAACCTTAGCAGCGTGTTGTGTAACAAATTCCATTTCACCAATTACGTAGGTCTGTTAAGTCTGTACTAACATTGGGGTACTCACGTTAAATTCCTAAAAAAATATTCCGCGCAAATATTGTAACATTCTGGCAAGAAAAACGACATTACGCGTGCATATTTTACGAGGTATGTTTTGCTCTATTGCACTACAGAAGGCCATGTTTGAGAACATGCGTAGACGCATAAAGATATCCTTTGTAACGTTGTAAACAAAAAACTGAAACTGACGCACCAGACTTCCTTCCCATGCCGGTTTACTGATATTTTCAGGAGTCTATCAATATTGATTCTATTGATAGACTCCTGATATTTTTAAAAGCCGCATTGACAGACCATTGGGTGATACGTATACATCAACATATGAAATAATACTGAAATGTTACCTTAATAACTTCATGCAGTCGAATCTATCTAATATCTAATTAAGAATCTAAATCATAATAAGAGGTGCGATATCGTCGGAACTGGAAACAGGACGTAAACGCAAAAGGCTTGTCTCCAGAAAGGAAAACCGCGTCCAAAAAGGTTCGTTTTTTTCACTCACCAACAATACTGGGTACCGTGTGTTTTTCTGCATGGGTCCCCCCACCTCGGGTATGTACTATATACAACACGTATCTAGCCCCCAAAGAGAGAATAAGCTAATCTAACCACAGGATAGTCAGTAACACGAGCCCATTAACGTGTTAATGGACTAGTAATAGTAAGGACGAGCATGCAACGCCCTCTACCGCCTAACACCTTACATTGCACTTACATTCGTCATCCACGGAATTCTGCATGGGGGCTAGAAAAGAAATTAAACAGAACGACTTATGCATAATACATCGCAAACTATGACTATTATGCGATAGTGAGTTTTACGTTGGTTTTACGCGACATTGACGGTGCTGTGACTATCGCTAGGCTATCGACTATGCTGTGAACACATTTTTCAGCTATTGCAGCGATTTTCAACCCCAGTACTATCGCTCGAAAGCGCACACGGTCAAACATTTGCAGAGCCCCGGGGATAGGGTGGAGCGGCGGCGTAAGACATTTATTGATTAATGTCGGTTTGTCTGCCTCGTTGTCGTAGCTGGACGCTTGTCTCTATTAAGTTAGTACTCTAGTCCGCGATTCTCTCTCTCTCTCTCTCGTGTTTCAACCTCATGTGGGGGCTTCCTGCCATCTGGTCACGCTCGTGGGTCTACCCTGCATTCTGTTACGGCGCTTGTCTCTACCCTGCATCTGTTCACGCGCATGTCTACCCTGATCTGTCGCGCGCGTGTCTTTACTGCATCTGTCGACGCGCGTGTCTCTACCTGCATCATGTCAAGCGCGCGTCTCTTACCCTGCATCTGTCAACGCGCGTGTCTCTACCCTGCAATCTGTCACGCGCGCGTCTTTACCCTTGCATGTGTCCACTGCGCGTGTCTCTACCCTGCATTCCTGTCACGGCGCGCGGTCTCTACCCTGCATCTGTCACGCTCGTGTCTCTACCCTGCAATCTGTCACGCGCGGCGTCTCATTACCCTGCATCTGTTGCGCTGCGTGTTTTCTACCCGCATCTGTTCAC